GAACAGTCCTAAGCCAGCCAACACTGACAGATACTTGAGTGCACGCAGAGCAACCAACAGCGACCACCAGCGGATAAAGTCGCTGTGCTTAGTGCTGAGCTGGGCAGCAGCAGGTACTGAACTTCTTTTTGTAATTGTTGTTGAATAAACTATATGCAAGAAAAGGGTTAAAGTGTCCTGGGGGGTAAAATCTTTCGATCCTGGTTTGAATAAACCAGCTGTAACATACAATTCTGGGACAACAACCAGGAAGCACACGTGGCAAAATGGCATCTGTTGTAGAGTCTAGGTGATGGGCAGATGAATGCTCACTGTACTCTTTTCTCTGTATTTGAAAATTTCATGATAAAAAGTCATTAAAAAACCCAAATCCTCAGGACATCCAAACCCATCCAAGAGAGAGAAAGAAAGAGAGACTTGGGGAGTTGGCTTAGCTGGGGCGGAGTCTCTGGTTGGGATTTGTGGGAGGCGTTTGGATGGCAGCCAGGAGAGAAGCTGGGGAGCTGGGTTTAAGATGGAGGATGGGAATGCTTCTTGCGATTCTGACATGGCTTGACTGGGAAGCAGAAAGAGAGTAACTCGATATACCACACCAGGCACTGAGAAACTCCCAGAGTTCATCTGAGGAGGAAATGTCAGGAGACAATCTTGAATTCTGTGTTAAATGAAGTGTGAGGTCAGATTTTCCTGTGGGCAGAATGGGCTGGTGATGGGCTGGAAGGAGGCTCACAACCCACTGAGTTCCCCATGAATTCAGACACATCCCTTTAGGCTTTGACTTTTTCTCTGATATAGCTGGGGGGTGGGGTGAGAGGGGAGGGCAAGAGGAGCGCAGAAGTAGGTAAGGTTGGAAGAAGCTTCATGATGAACCAAGTCTTCAGTGATGTAGGGACACTTTATTGGCTTCACCTTCAATAACTGAGGTGTCACTATAAATAAGATAGAAAAAGGCAGAAAACCAAACCTAACCTATGTATGTAAACTTAGGCGTTGCAGGGGTAAGTTAAGAATGTGTCAGGAAAATATGGAATAATTAAATATACCAGCAGAGAAAGAGTTTGATGAACTCTGCCTGAAGTTGTCACCTCTTCTATGAACGCTCCCCCTGATCACACTACCCACGGCTCTCTGTTCCTCTTCTCATACACCATTGCTAGCACCACTTGTGGCACCTGGAAATTGCATCAGGCTGCAGGTAACAGAAAACCCGACTATAGCAGTTTGGCAGAAATGGACTGGCTATTCAGAAGCCTCTCAAAATCCCTTTTCTTTTGCCTTCCTATTTTATAAAGGCTGGAAAGACTCATCTTCTTAGATTCACTTCCAGCTAGGTAGATGTGGACAAGCATCAAGAGTTCTGGCCAGTGAGATGCAGGAGATCCCTGGGGAGGACTTCCTTACCTCCTCCAAAAAGACAAGACCTCATGAGGTAAAACCTTTTGGCTCTTTTCTTTCTTCCTGCCTGTAATTTGGACAAGATGCCTGGAGGCACAGAAGCCTTCTTGTGACCATGAGGACCAAATTCTCATGCTAAGGATGGGAAGTTAGGAAGATACAAGGACCCTGGGACATTGATGGTGTCACAGAGCTCCTACACCAGCCCTAAAATGATTACCCTGATTTCCTGTCATATGAAAAACAAGCAAACCACCTGCAAATTAGAGAGTACCTTACTCCATGGCTTAGAAAAGTGAGAAGGTTTATTGTCTCGTGAAACATGAAGGAAATAGGAAATTCAAGACTGGTAGGGTGTTATCAATGTCCTTGGCTCCCTTTTTCTTCTTAGCTTTTCCATTTTAATGTATTGATTTCCTCCTCTTGGTCACAATATGGCTGCTGTACCTCCAGGCATCAGGTCTGCGTTCCAGGGACAAGGAAGTATATATCTCATGGGTCCAAATTGTGTTGTATGGTCACTCCTGGCTGCATGGTGGCTAGGAAGAAACAAAAAACAGTAATTAACTTTTCAATGTTTACAGTAGAGGAAATAAAGAAGGTTGGTTATTCAACATCCATTCCCAATCATTTTCTCTTTTGCCTTTCTCTACTATATACAGGTGCTTTTCTTTCTTTCCTTCTTTTTTAAACACTGCCTTGTGGAGGAGTTGGAGTCCTTGGGTGGTGCAAATGGTTAATGTTCTTGGCTGCTAACTGAAAAGTTGGAGGTTCAAGTCTACCCAGAGGCATCTTGGAGGAAAGGCCTGGTGATCTACTTCTGAGATCACAGTCATTGAAAATCCTATGGAACACAGTTCTGCCGTGACACAGATGGAGTCTCCATGAGCTGGAACTGGTTAACTGGCTAATTGGTTTGTGAAGGAGATCCTTACTACTTCACCAGTTAGACTGGGAACCTTGAGGATCCTGCACAGTGCCCAGCACATATGGACACTAAAGAAAATGTGTTTAATCAATATTCAGTAGCTGCCTGGGGGCTCTTATTTTCTGAAACTCTGTTTATCACTGAAGTCACCTTTACTGAGATACTATTTTGTGACTGATAAAAAGGCAAAGTAGGGCTGGGGAAAGGGCAAGAAAAACAGGCTGTATCTGGATGCAGAGTTGAAAGGTTGGTGGGATAACAGATTATAATTCTGCTTGTTTGAAATTTTCTTCTGCAGAAGAGACTCCTGATTCTGGTAATACTAGGCTAGATAATTTGGACCGCATTTTCATTTAATCCTTTATGAGGTTGGCACTACTCTTCTATTTCAGACGAGGAAACCCAGATTTAAAGAGATTCCGAAACTTGCAGCTCCAAAGGGTTCTGACTCCGAAAGCACATACTCTTGACAGTTCCACTAGACCACCACCAATAACACCCAGCCATTGTTGCTGTCTCTTCAGTCTAGAATAGTCCACCAAGTCTGCGTTTCCCCAATCCCAAGGTCAGCTGGGGAGGACAGGGAACAACGCTAAGGAGAATTTTGCAGGAACTGGGAGCAGCGCTGTAAATATAGCCCAGAGCATTAAGGCCACTACCGTTTGGGAAAATCCACCCTAGCTCTCTTGTGGTCCAAGGGCTTGTCCTGTAACCTCCAACACAAAACAAGTCCCCCACCTCCTTTTTCCATAGGCGAAACTGAGAGAACAAACAGGAGCAGCTGCTACGTTGAGGCGCGAGGCGCACACCATACCCTTCCGCAGCTTCCCACCTCCTCCAGACACGTGTTTAAAGAGTCCCTGCTCTTCCCCTCCCCGCCGCACCTCGTCCCCACCTTCGTGTCCGCCCGGCCCCCGCCTGCGCTGCTGGCCTCAAGTTTCGTCGGAGAGCCTGGTGCACTCCACTGCAGCGGTGGCGGCGACCGAGCGCCCAGCGGCGCTTCGCCACCCACCTCGCCCCATCCCCCGCGCCGCAGTCTCCGCCCGCCCGGGAGGGCGTACTCGGCGGAACCGGAGCCGAGGGTGGGGCGCCGAGAGGGAAGGGATCCCGGGACGCGCCGTTTCAGTTCTCGCAGCTGCAGAGGCGGCGGCAGCAGCAGGTGGAGCGAGTTCCGCGTGAGCAGCACTTGACCTGCCAGCCGCCGCGGCGGACGCAGGGCCGCTGGGCTGGAGCCCGTCCCCGCCCCAGTTCGACCTCAGTGTCCAGGGAACTTGGATAACCGAGGCCGGCGGGTTGGGCTGGGGCCAGTGTGTCTCGGAGCGCACAGCCGCGCTGGAACCCGCGTCTGGGGCGCAGGACTAGGGCGAGGAGCGCCTCGCGTCTCCTCCTGTTTACCTGGAAGACCTGTTCTCCTGGAAGAGAGCTGTTGCCGGCTCTTGGATTCGGGAGGAGCTCGGAGTCCGCCCGGACATGTTATAGGACGCTGTTTGCGCTCTGGTGGCGCGCGGGGTCCTAAGCTGCGCGCACGCTTCTCCTCTCCGGCTTCGGTGCGGAAAGCTTAGGGCTCTTCTCTGGGATTCCGCCTGCCTTTCTCCTGGGGAGGTGTAGGGGGCCGGGAGCTTCTCACTCGTTCTTCCGTGGAGTCCTCGCACCCTCGCTGTGCTTGCCTCGAGGGCCTCGCAGGTTGGCACGAATCTGCAGGACTTTTCTGCCGATTTGATTTCTTCGATTATAGGACAGTTCCCGCCAACGACACTCAACGCACTTTTCCCTGTCTTTGCGCGCGGGCCAGCGTCCTGGGTCGCCGGAGTCTGCGGAAACCGTGCTCCTCTTCGCTGGCCCTCGACTCTCTGCTTGGGGTGCCTCCTAGCCACTGGCCTCGAGGGGAGGGTGCAGACTTGGCTCCTTCCTGCCTCCCTTTGAGGGAGCGCGGGCCTAAGAGGGGGGCATTGGCCTCCTCGGGGCTTATTTGCGTGAGGTGGGAGTAGGGGTGCGGGCAGCCCCGGGCCGCCGGCCATGGCCTTCACTTTCGCTGCCTTCTGCTACATGCTCTCCTTGGTGCTGTGCGCTGCGCTCATCTTCTTCGCCATCTGGCACGTGAGTAACCGGCAGGGGTTTCTAACTCTTTTCTGTCGCCCAACACGCGCCCCTCTCCACCGCCTCCCCCAATTTTTCTAAAATGTCACCCCACTTCCCCACTTTCTCCAGTGTGGGCGGACTAAGAGGTTGACCGCCGTGCGCCCGCAGGTTAGATCCGCTCCCACTTTCTTTTCCCGGGGCAGGAGACACTTCACAGGGTCCCGAGGCTAGGCTGCGCCGGGCGCGTCTTCGGTACCCTGGGGTGCTGCCGGGGAGGCTGGAGGAACCCTTGGTCCCGGGGCAGGGCGCCCTCGCCAGGGCCTGGCCGAGCGTCCCGGGCCCCAGGGGTAGCGGCTGCTACTCCATCTACCCTCAGTCTTTCCCCGCCCCCTCTCCTGCGCTGCCGTCGGGCCCAGCAGTTAGTCAAGTAACTATAACAACTAAACATTTAAAATGTCAGCATCTGCGGTGGGTTGCATTTAGACATAATTGGAGACAAAGTGGAAACACTACAGGAGCGCCTTGTAAGAGGAAGTAGGGAGAGGCTGGGACCGGGAAGGGGAGGAAACTAGGTGATGGGGGTGGAAATGGAAGGCGGCAGGAAGATGAGAAAAAGCGAGACGGAGAGGAAGGTTGGGGAATGAGCGGGATAAACAAGGACACGGAGGAAGGATGCGCGGAGAGAGACCACGAGAGCCAGCATGGCTTCCTCTTTTGCCCCCCGGGTGTCGAGGTGTCCTCCACTCTCCTGAAGTCCCAACCATCCATCCAACCCCTGAAGTCTTCCTCCCGGTGGCAGACCTGCTTCCTACCCGTATTCCCCGGCAGCCTGGGCCCGGCACAAGCTTTCCTGCCATCCTTCGAGGGGACTACATCGCAAAAGGTGGCCCAGGTTGAGGGCAGCCATGGGTTCCAATTCTGCAGGACTGGGACAGGAGTGGGCCCCGTGCTGTGGGAATCGGAACAAAAAGCTTCTGAAGAGGAGAATAAGTGTGAAGGGAGGGAGAGAGCAGGACTGAGGAACTGTAACATTTGGCAAGTGAGTTGAACTCTCAGAGTTTCATCCTCTGAGGCTGTATAAACTCCCTATCCTCACCGTCAGAAGGTGGTTGGGAAGAACAGCCAAGGTCAAGCGTTTTGGGAGGAGCACCACAGTGCATAGTCTCCCCACAGTAACAGCCTTCCCTGCCCAGCAAGCGCAGGTGCCAGGGAAGGACCCTGAGCTGAATCCCTCAAGGTGTGGTTCCAGCGAGCATTAGACAGCACACGCCCTGCCCTGGGAAAGGAAGACCCAGGTGAAGAGCTGAGGAAAACTGCAGGGTGGGCGAGATGCGGGTTTGTGTTAAAACAGAACTAAGCAGCTAAGGAGTTCAGCTAGAGCAGCTCCTGCTACAAGGCTTTCTGACATGGGGAGGGACACTCAGGAGCAGGAACGCTTCTAACCATGTTGTTAGTTTGTTGTCGTTCGTTGCCCTCGAGTCGATTCCGACACTGGCGACCCCTACGTGTGCAGAGTGGAACTTCTCCATAGGGTTTGCCAGGCTGTGACCTTTCAGAAGCAGATCGCCAGGCCTTTCTTCTGAGGTGCCTCTGGGTAGGTTTAAACTATCAACCTTTAGGCTGGTGGTCAAGCACTTAATCATCTGTGCCACTCAGAAACTCCTGTATCCATTAACTTTAAGAAAGACACTTGCTGGACTTCCTTCATCTCTACAGTGAGTAAGTTGACCTGGATGATCTCTGAGCTTTCGCATATTTCCAAGATTGTGTAAATCTGTGATTTGGTAGATTTAGGAGCCTGTGAGTAGGAGAGAAGGATTTGGACACAGGAATTTCATGGCTGACCTAAAGTCCTGGGAGTTAGCAGTAAGGGATTCTGCCCTCTCCCTTCCTCTGTCCTGGGTTGCTGGGTTTAATTCGGGAGAGAAATGAGCCTTTAGGCTGTTGACAGTTGTTAAGGGATAATGAAGCTTTACCTGATTTAGAATAAGAAAGGTGTCTTAGTCATCTAGTGCTTTTACAACAGAAATACCACAAGTGGATGGTTTTAATGAAGAGAAGTTTATTTCCTTACAGTTAAAGTAGGTTAAAAGCCCAAATTCAGGGTGTCAGCTCCAGGGGAAGGCTTTTTCTCTCCGTTGGCCTTCTTCTCTTTGGTGTTCCCCCAGACTAGGAGCTTCTCTGCACAGGGACCCCGGTCCAAAGGACGCGCTCTGCTCCTGGCACTGCTTTCTTGATGGTATGAGGTCCCCCTATCTCACTGCTCACTTCTGTCTTTTATATCTCAAGACATTGCTTCAGGATACAATCCAGTCTTGTAGACTGAGTCCTGTCTCACTAACACAACTGCCACCCATCCTCCCTCATTAACATCATAGAGGCAGGATTTACAATTTATAGTTAAACCACAGAATACCAGGAGTCATGGCCCGGCCAAACTGATACACACATTTTTTGGGGGACATAATTCAAACCGTGACAAAAGGGCATAGACAAGAGTGTGCCCCAGCAATGCAGAAAACCTCTGCTAATGTGTTTTAAAACAAACTTTCTTTGCCTCGTGGGATTTTGGGAGTTGTTTGCGTTCGAGAAGGATAACCACTCCCTTTCTTCAGAACTACTTCCTTTGCAGTTCCTTTCCGTCTTTGCCTTGGCCGGCAGGGGTGGGTGGGGGTGGTGGATGAGTGCTAGAGAGAAAGCTCCAGGAAAGTCAGCCGGGCTTGAGTTCTCTGAACCAGCCCTTGAAGCAGAGCGGGTAACCAGGAAGAATACTCTTCTCCCACTCAAAACTAAACCAAACCAAACAAACCCACTGTCGTTGAGTCAGTTCCAGCTCATAGTGACCCTATAGGACAGAGTAGAACTGCCCCGTAGGGTTTCTAAGGCTGTAATCTTTAGGAAGCAGACTGTCTCATCTTTCACTCCCATGGAGACGCTGGTGGATTCAAAACCGCAGACCTTTTGGTTAGCAGCCGAGTGCTTAACTTCTCCCACTCAGGGGAAGATAATTAATAATTCAAGAACAGGTTAATTAAGTGGGTGGTTTGTGCAGCTGGTTGACTAATAGACATTTAAATCAAAACTCGGCATTTCAGTGATCCTGTGTTGAGCTCTGTTCTCATTTCTCAACATCACCCCCTTACCTACGGGTAGCTGGATGGGGTCAAACCCCAAGTCTGGGTCAGGTCCTGCCCAGATTCCTAGTGAGAATGGCACAATTCCAGTTTCTGATAATAAGAGAACTGTGTGCTCTTTGTATTAAAATGGCAATAACAGTTCCCAAGTCTTAGCCCTGCTTCCTTTCCTTCTCCGTCTCTCCAAACAACCCGAAACCCTACCACTGAATTGGTTCCTGAACAAAGTCTGAAACACGCTGATTTTGGTGCACACACTGTGTGTGTGTGTGTGGGTGTTGGTTATGGTGGTAATTATTTCAACTGAGATTTAGGAGCGTTCTGTGTTAGGCTGTGCTTTTGCCTTCTATCCAGCTTCTTAAATTTCTTATGAATTTCTTCGTCTGATGAGCCATATTGATTGGTTAGCGTATATTGACATCCCAATGAATTGGGCGCTTAACAATATATGACAGTTAAGAGACCCGTGTCATTGCCATCCCTAGGCTTTTAGATATAAAGATGGCACGTTTTTCTTATTTAATTGTACATACCTACTTAGGAAGGAGCTCTGGTGGCACAACAGTTAAGTGCTCAGCTGCTAACTGAAAGGCTGGTGGTTCAAACCCACCAACTGCTTGGTGGGAGAAAGACCTGACAATCTGTGCCTGTAAAGATTCCAAAAAAAAAAAAAAGAAAAGTTGCCATTGAGTTGATTCTTACTCATAGCAACCCTACAGGACAGAGTAGAACTGCCCCTTAGGGGTTCCAAGGAGCAGCTGGTGGATTTGAACTGTTGACCTTTTGGTCAGCAGCCGTAGCTCTTAAGCACTATGCTACCAGGGCTCCCCTATAAAGATTATAGCTTAGAAAATCCTATGGGGCAGTTCTCCTCTGTCATATAGGGTTGCCATGAATCA